GGGGGAGCGTTGCTTGAAGCGTTGCGGTGGGGCATTGCTGCGACACGTGCGCAGGGAGTCACATTGACGTTGCACGATGGGGCGTCGCGGTGACGCGATGCATTGCGATGGTACGTCATGACGAAGAGTTGCAACGAAGCGTCATGGCGGGCATCGCGACGGCGTATTGATTTCAAGATTATAATCAGAGAGCATGATTTCTCAAAAGGAAGAAAGTCGTCTTGCATAACGGTGAATAGTTACGAGGCAGAGTTGTAGCGCAGAGTTGTGGTGTAGAGTTGCGACAAAGAGTTTCGGTACTGATTTATGGCGTAGAATTGCGGTGCAAACTAAAGTCGTCCCCGCCCTGCGTAACAACCAAACAATGAGATCTTCTTTCTTGTTGCAGTGAAGAGGAAAGTCGTTCCCGTCCTGCATAGCAGACAAGCAACGAGATATTCTTTCATGTTTATGTCACACATTTCAGAGGTGATGAAGAAATGTTGTAGTTTTCCGTGTCGCCCTTGTACGTTATGGAGACCCCCTGACAAGAATCATAATTACTATAATTTTAGGGAGGCAATGCCAAATCTAATTGAAGATGAATTGTTTTGTTGTAGCCCTTGTACAAGTACATGTTGAGCTTTGTAGCATTTTTAATGTTTGGTGTAATATTTGTAGATGATGATAATGTATTTCCTTGCTTCTTTCACAGTTGTTGTGGCTTCTCAATTGTACGAAATTCTGCAATTAAAGTTGACACATAAATTTTATAAAATGAAGAATCATGTACCATTTGAGGCTCATGCCTTCCAAGGTTTTGCCCTCTCGAGTTTATGTCTTATAGGAGCTTGAAATGAACTAGTGTCTTCTAATGCTTGTAGCTTTCCGAGGTTTTTGAGTGGAGACCCTGTCAGTTAATTGCTCTCATGAAAACTTTCTAGTGAGGAAAATCCACCAAGGATTTTTAACTTATATGAGACTGTATGTTAAAGCTTTTGTTTGACGAATGCAGCCTGGTCGAATCCACTCCCCTTGGGAGCGATTAAGCCTAGAATGAGGTGTCTGAGATGCTATGCATTTCTCGAGACTAGGGTGTAGGTCGCAATGGACCATACGTTTTCTTGAAAATATGGCTGCAGTCATTCTCAAGTAAAATGTTTGACAACTTGTTAGTTGTTGTTTTTGAATCTTTTGTTGTTTCAGCGGGGTATTTTCCATGCGAGCTTGTAAAACATCACAAGTATTGGGCCTAGAAGAGATTAGGTTCCTGATCTATATGAAGAGGAACTCCAGTACGATGAGGGGACACTGAGGAAGTGTTATTTGCAGTGAAGATTTCCCCCAGTCCATGAGAGATTTTCTAAGACTTGTAATCTAAATGAAATATGGGATGACATCTCCACCACGGTTGTTCCCCGAGACGTTAACGTGAACTACCTTTTGAGACCGCAGTGAAAGTTGTCCCCACATTGAAGAATGCATTGAAGATGATCATCATGACGTGAATGACATTCCTTTGCCAGTTAGATGAAGCACATTATTGGGAAAGGAAGTAAGAGCTCAATGTCTTAGGGTCTGTTTGGGGCAGCTGCAGCTTATCTAGCTTCTGTTGATAAGCAGCTTATCCTGATAATCTGCAATTGAGCAGCTGATCCGGATAAGCTGTATGACTGTTTGGTTGACGCTTATGGAAAACAGCTGATCCTGGAAAATTGACCATTCTGCCTCTGTTCTGAATAAGCAGTTTAGCTGTTTGGTTAGTGTAGTTTGTAAACAACTTATTTGAAATTTTTTTTTAATTAAATGAATAATCTGTATAGCAGAATCTGTTCTTTTCTCAACAAAATTAAAGATCACTGTAAAAGCAATCCACCGCTCCAGTTGCACTCGCCTTCCAAGTTGTAGTTGCAAGTATTGGATTATCAACTTCTATTTTCCTAGATAAAGATATTGAAACATGGTTAAATACTTGTGTATTTTATCATAAGAAAATTATCATGCAATTACTAATCACAATATAATTAATAATTTTATGGGCAAAAGTTATGTAATATAATATGGAATTCTGATGCATACATAGGAGTGTAATGTCTCCACTGAAATGCTCACAAAATTCAAATCATTCCTCAGCTATCAAAAACTGTATTGAACATTTCTAATTCAGCTTCACCTTCATCAAGTTCCATCATTCCTTCCTCGAAGCCTCAAGAATCCAAGATAATTATAAAGTGAATAAAATGCTCATCCTCATTACTATCAAGTTCTAGAAATAGAAAACGACTTAGGATAAAAGCAACAATTAGGATAAAAGCAACCCATTGATCAAATAGTAAAGCTAGAACAATAGCGCAAGAAAGTTTCTGGAAGCAATATTTCTGATAAACTCTTTTTTTTTTTAACTCATGGAAAGATAAATTAAAGGAAGGATTTGAAAGCATAAGGCATAAAAACTCAGCTATATAATTCTGTCAAAAAAATAGGAGTGCTATGATGACTTGCTATGATGACTTCAAAATCTCCAAGTCAAAACTGATCCTGTTCTTGTGATCCGAGAAGAACGAAGAGGAGATGACTCATATCCTTCAAATCCAGAATTTATCTTTCTCATTCGACCAAAATTCTTTCAATTTGGAGATTATGACCAAAATTATTTCAATTTGGAGATTATGAAGTCAATATAAGCACTAAAGTTTAGATGTTCATGGAAGCCAATATATTTGGAAGCCAATATATTTTTTGAGACCAATATAAGCACTTAAGTTTAGATGTTAAAAATGTAAATATATCAGGGAAGACAATATATTCTTTGAGACCAATATAAAATATTCCTTGAGACCAATATAAGCACTTGTTTAGATGTTAAAAATGTAAATATATCATCGAAACAACAACTGCAAGCACCGATATCAAACAAATATGGGAGAAATCCTGTACGCCCTTATATACCCCCTTATAGGTATGGGCTGCCGAAGCTCCTTCAACACCAATGCATTGAAAGAGTAAAAATCTACAAGCATCAATATCAAACAAAAATGAGAATCTTTGATTATATATCTTTGTATTAATTTGCAGAATTATCTTTACTTAATATATTCAGATTTATCCTTCACTAAAACTGAGTTAAAATACAGGAGTTTTTTCAGAAGGCTGCTAAGTCCTGCTGGTTTAACACCTTGTCGCATATCTTCTTTAACAAATAAAAAAATTTCCATTGTGGCAACCTATTTATTCTAACAACATGATTTGGGAGTTTTCCGCTTTATTGAGGAAGCAAGGAAGCTTCTCCGCTTTACTCCTGGCATATGGCAGCTTCGGTGGAGCGGAGGAAGACCAGAGAGTCGGCGGAGGAAGCGCGGGTCTTCGGCGGAGGAAGCGCTGGTCTTCGGCGGAGCGGCGGAGGAAGACCGGAGAGTCGACGGCGATAGAGAGGTACTTCGGCCCGAGGAAGAGCGAAGCTGGAGGCGGAGGCGAGCGGATAAGGTTTTAGGGTAAGAGGATAAGCGTGTGCGCGTAAAATATTCCCCAATCGCGCGTTTCAAACACTGATCGCGGGTATCGACCCGCGACCAGCTTTTCTCTAAATTCAAAACGAGATTATAAAATAAGCTGTGCAAACGCTGAAAACAAACGGTGCAGCGGCGTTTTCAAAAACGCCGCCGCACTTATAAACTGCCCCAAACGGGCCCTTAGAGTTGAAGAAAATGCCGAACGGGACTTCATTTCCCACAGAAGACACCAAACTGATGCATGCCAGAAAATTCGTGGTAAATGAGTAATGGATTATTGTTTTAGCGTTGCACGATGATTTAACACACACTCAGAAGAAATGAAAACAACATGTGATGACACCAGAAGTTTGCAAGTGGAAAACCAGTAAAGGGAAAAAAACCATGGGGCCTGGTCCAGTTATAAAAATCAATTATATGTTGATGATTACAGAGACCCCTTATCCCACAGACGGGAAATGATTACTAGATTTTCCAAGTAACAACATCGACTGATGGAGTTTGGTCAGCGGTGGTCGACAGAGGTCGGTGGTGGTCAATGACAGCTAATGACGGTCAGCGGTGGTCAACGAATGTCAGCGGTGATCAGCGGTGGTCGTTGCAGGTCAGTGGTGGTTGTCGACGGTTGGTGGTGGTTGACGGTGATCGAAAATGACATAGATGATGTTGAACTTGCGCTGCTTCTCAAAGCCTCAACTTTTTTCTCAAGCCTCAGCTTTTCCCTCATGAGAGGGGTAGGGGTCTATTTATAGTGTTTTTGGTGTCATTAGTGCATAAATATTAATCATTTTTGATTGGACGGTTCAGAGAGCTTCCTCCAATTAGACGACGTTTAATGGACATTTGAGTGTCATAACAATATAGGAATTATGCAGTCTTGGACTCATTGGATTTGTCTTGTCGAGACGCTCGATTTGACTATAAACTTGCCAACTTTGACACATGTTTGAACTTCCCAATATGTCCTGAGATCTTCCAAGAGCGGTTTAATGACTTGATTCGTGCTTGATTTGACTCGAATTGGACTAACTTTGATATCATTAGGTCGATCTCATCGAACCAGCCAGTTTGATCGTAAGTTTGCTGAAATCGAAACTCTGGATGACTTTTACTTGAAGTTTGAATGTTTATTGTTCAAAATATTGCATCGAGATTCGTGTCGAATGGTGAAAATTTGTTAGTCGCGTAACAATAATATTTTATATTTAAATGATTTACATTTATAACAATTTATTTTGAAGGATTTACATACATACTACTCAATCATATGATTTACATCTCTAAAACATAAACTTAATTTGTTATATACATGCTTCTTTTCTATAAATGAAAATGTGTATTTCACTTTTCAAAAATTAAAATAGTGTTTTTTTTTATTTGAAATGAATTATTTGAACGACAAGTTTATAAAATAGAAAATTTAGAAGTTAAATATGTAAATACAGAGGAATTTGATGGTTTATATGTAAATGAGCCAGGTATTTTTAGTTTATTATCGTCGGCGGCGTGGGAGCCAATGCTCCCACAGCTGTGGACTTCGTCCAAATTTGTTCAGGTCAAGTCAGGATTACCTTATTCAATAATGGCTTTTAGTTCGTCAAACTAGTTATGCTGTTGACCTCGATTTCGGGTACAGAGTCGCTGGTCCTAGAGTGCCATCTTCTTTGATCCATTCCTTTTCCCTGTTCATCCCAGGACTCCTCTCCATCAATTATTTCTCCGTCTTCTAGAATTTGATTTTTTGCTGCTTGCCCGTGGAGCAGATGAGTTTTGGGTGCGCTGGAAGATGGTGGGCCTTCTTCTAGAATTTGATGTCTTGTTCATTTCTCATGGATTAGAAGAGGTTTGAGCGCGTTGGAAGAGAGAGAGAGAACCAGAGGGCAAAGAGGTGGAGATGGACAGACGGCGGCTGAAAAATCTGTATGCCAAGGAGGCAGTGGAGTTTTTAAACCATGTAATTGAAGAGAAGCCGCTGCTGCCCTTCTTGATACCGTTAGGGTTTTTCGCATGGGCTATTGAACGATGGCTGGTTCCCTTCTCTAATTGGATTCCCATGGCGTTTGCCGTCTGGGCTACTATTGAGGTGGGCTGGATTTTAGTTGCTTTAATTAATTTCTTTTTTTAGAGGATAGCTTTATATGGCAAATGGATTGTTGTTTTTATGATGTATTAACTCACCTTTTCACATCAATTAGGACTTTTTGTATTTTGTAGAGGTTCACATCGTTCTATTAGGGGATTCAGCGGATTTACCCATTTTTGCTTCATTAAACTTGAGATGGTTCAAAATTGTATTTGTCGTCATCTAATTAATTCTTTTTTTTTCTTATTAACTCAGGCATGTCTAGCTTGATATGCTTGCAATGCTCAGTTACTTTTCTCATGCCATCAAGTTTTCTTCTTAAAATATAGTCTTTATGAGGAACGAGACTATCTCCAGTTCAAAATGGTAGATAGGAAGTTTAGGATGGTGCCAAAATAACCTAAATTGTTTTCTTAAATTTCAGAAGTTATATCTGTGTCTTTCATTACATAAAAGGAAATTATTATAACAAAATTTATGGTTATTATCCCTCTGGATAATGGGAGAGCCTTTTAGATTAAGACTAATAAGTAGGGCATTTATTGCTCCGAGTATTGTAACAACAATTCTAGATTATCTCTCAGACTTAATAACTTTTGTCTGGCATACCTGGGCCAATCTGGCATAGCTACGCCGCATCCTTGTGAGACTATGTGGGTGCTTCCAACTCAACATCTCAACAAGGTGGCAAACCGACATTACTCGTTGAGATGCCAGTTGTCCTGCATCAACTGCCGCATTGACCTAGTGGATTGACCTGTTGGATTGACTTGGCAAAATGAGCTATCGGATTGACCTGACGGATTAACCTATCATACTCATCCATCTAGCCCGCCTCACCAGTGATTGTTGAAATTGACGGAATGCAAAAGTCAAGACCATTATCAATGGTTGACTTATGCCACATTTTCATTTATGAGCTGCCTGACATTCAAGTTGCAATTTTTTCATCGAGACCTCACAGTTCATAATTTAATATTTTTTTGAACATGTATAAAGAGAGCGAGGGGGACTCTTTCTCAGAGGCTCTATCACACACACACTCTCTCTCTGATAGGCATTTTTGGAAAATCTCACATTGTATATCTGGGTTGGCTTTTCTTGCCTCATCTCTTATTCTTTCTTGTTGATTAGATCATCTTCTCTATTGTTCCATGGAAGGATCATTGCAAGGAAATATATTTCAAGCCTGTAGAACACGTCCTTTCTCTTCCTTTGCCCTCCTTACATAGGTTTCTCTCTCGTTGTGTGAACTCACGAACAATATGAGGCCCAACGTTCTAAAAAGATTCCACACTGTGAATATATTAATATTACTTAATACGACTTTGACACTTTAGAAGTTTATGTTGATTATAAATTTATCACCCTCGACAAACCGTTGTGGAGGGTGGATATATATTGCTATTAGATTTTATGTGATGTATTTCATTTAAATAATATTGTTAGATTCTTATATCATAAAATTTTAATTTTATAAATAAACCCCCTCTATTAAGGTTCACTTTCTAGATGACAATCACCGGAGATTTAATTGAAATGCTTATATTTTTTATTTGATTAAATTTAGTTATTTGAATATTTATAGAAAAACAAATCCTGTTAACTTTGACACTTATATGGGGGAGGATTAAACTAACTAATTAGCTCACTGTCTCATTAACCCTAGCATTAGAAAGAGGGTGAAATTGAATATACGTGACTTGTTGATCTCGTCTTGTAGATAAGGTGGCCAACTCGAGAGCATAGAACTTAACATTTTAGATCTAATTTTTGGAGGAGAGATTTTATAAAACCTTGAGCATTTGCACGCTAGTTGAGACTATATTTCAGTTTACTCTTATATTTAAATCATGTAATATTCTTGGACGATGCATTTTAAGTGTTTAGCAAGCTTGTTAGAGCACATTACAAGTTTTGAGTTTATTTCATGTAAGCCTGCGTAATATTCACAAACTTTATGATTGAGTATTTAGCATATTGATCGGAGCATATACGGGCAAGTTAGATTTATATATTGGACACTCTGTAGAACTTCACACAATTTTTGAGACATTACGCGGCTTTTGAGACACAATTTAAAGCAAATATTTCCTTATGAAGCACTTATAAGACTTGAAATTATCCAAATTTGACTGATTTTTGTAAGGTTTTCAATATGTGCATAGCCTTACTTCGAACCATCCAAATATCATCCTCTATCCGCTTGCGGTTGTGGTGCTTATTTGGTGGCATTTAAGGCATTCTAAGATCTTGTTATATATTTAAAGGAATGCATCTGGTATGTGAATTATTGAAAATTAAATGTTTTGTGAAATTTCGTTTGTACTCATATATAAGCTATTGCGTTCATTGAAAGTCTCCTATAAATCTGATATGTTATGTTCATTATTGATTACAAACAAGTTACTAGACACCTGGCATATTTATTAGGTATTAAATTCTCGTTCTTCTCAGTTCTTAGTATAAGGATTAACAATCCAAATATTCACTGAAGCATCACATTTATGCTCGATAGCGAGCCGTGAGTTTGTTATAGGTTGCATTTGTGTTCGTTGATGAGACAGTGAATCTCATGTAAGTCTAATGCATTTTTGTTTATATTATGTTACATTCTTTTGAGATGACTTATATAGTAATTTAAGCATTGATTTTGTCATTAATTTACATTTTAAAACTTATTTTTTTGATTTTATTTTAGTGCAAATAAATTCAATTCAATTTTTTTGTAAGAGGCGTTTAGACAAAATTTCGACAGCCTCCTAACTATCTTGTACACAACGTTGCATTGGGAGTGCAAGGACTTACCATAATGCCTGATTAGGCATGCGTGGTTGGTGTTGCAGGACACAGTAGTCGGAGATGTTAGGATCCAGTCTGAGGCTTGGAATTAACTAAGACAGACACAAATGATCGGATAGTGTGAATTAAAATTTTGATGTCCATTTTGTATAAATAGTAATTAACAAAATTATAAAGCTACTAATTAAATTAAACTAAAGCATTAAAATAAAATTTACCTCATTACTGATTGTCCGCTTTTTTATAAATATTTTTTTATTTATCGCTCATCTCTTAATCAATTAAATTAACCGGAAAATTTAGTTTAAAATAGCTGCAACAAAAAATAAATTAGTGAATACTCATACTTCTAAATTTTAGTAAAGTAATGGAAAAAGAAAACAATATGCATGCTAGTTAAATTTTTAATAAATCAATATAAATATTTGAAACTGCGCAAATCTTTCAAACCTTCCACGACATGATTTAAACTCAATTTCGATACAAAATTCAGATCATAACTGATAATGCAAATGAATATTTCAACTCTATTCTTGGATTCAATCTTTCAAAAATGGAATCATCCATATGAGTTTATATATTGACGCCCCAAAACAAAATGAGATAACTGAGAGAAAGAATATACATCTTCTTGAGGTATCCTGCTTAATTATAATTTCTCAGCAGTTTTCAAAATATTTTTGGGAGGAAGCACGTTTTTCTACAATATGCCTTATCAATTGAAGTCCTCATATGATACTTAACTTCAAAACACCACCTCATATTTTGATGGATACCTATACTCACATCAAAGCTTTCTCTTCTACTGTATTTGGGTGTTTATCCTTTATTTATATCAATTTTCCAGATCACATAACACTTAATCATAAATCTATCAAGTGTATTTTTTGTAGGTATACCTGAAACACAAAGGGAATAAATGTTACCTGTTATCAGAAAATATTACTTAAACTTCAAAACGCCACCTCATATTTTGATGGATACATATCCTCACATCAAAGCTTTCTCTTCTATCGTAGAACTTAAAATTTTTGGGTGTTTATCCTTTATTTATATCAATTTCTCAGATCACATAAAACTTGATCATAAATCTATCAAGTGTATTTTTTGCAGGCATGCCTGAAACAAAAAGGTATAAATGTTACCTGTTATCAAATATTACAACTCCATCGATGTCACATTTTTTGAAAATTAATAATTCTATTCCAAATTAACGTTAAGGGGGAGAGTACAAATGAACACCAATTTCGGGATGCACTTGATCTCACCTATACCTCCTCACAACCCACTCCTCTTTCACCTGACCAACATATCCTAGTTGTGGATGTCCAAACAACCCAACCTGAAGTCTATAACAAAGAACCTAGTTTGTGTAAAAATTTTGAACAGGTGGAAGACAACTTACAAATACAAAATTTCTCAGACCAAAACTTGAATTCACATTCACCTGAAATTTATGGTAAGGAGTAGTACTCATGAGTTATCCTCTTCCTCTACTGGTGTTGATGATAAGGGAAATTGTACTAGATACGCAATTCAAGAGTTCGTAGCTTAAAAGAAATTATCCTCATCTTATAGAGCATTTATACCTAACATTGATAGTGTATAGATTCCTAAATTCATTCATGAAGCTCTTGAAAATTTAGAATGGAGGAAAGCAATTAAAAAGGAGATTTGAGCACTAAAGCATAATAACACATGTATTCTAACTAAACTCTCTTAGAATAAGAAGCCAATTTGATGCAAATTGATGTTCAGCTTCAAATGCAAAGCTGATGGGGGCAATGTGAGATTCAAAGCCATTTATTGTAAAAGTTTTCACTCAAGCCTATGAGATTGACTATCAGGAGGCCCTCACATCAATTGCCAAACTAAACACTATTAGAGTTCTCGCTTCAGTAACAACTAACAAGGAATGTGGATTGCATTAGACTATCTCCAGTTCAAAATGGTAGATAGGAAGTTAGGATGGTGCCAAAATAACCTAAATTGTTTTTTTACATTTCAGAAGTTATATCTGCGTCTTTCATTATATAAAAGGAAATTATTATAACAAAATTTTATGGTTATTATCCCTCTGGATAATGGGAGAGCGTTTTAGATTAAGACTAATATTTAGGGCATTTATTGCTCTGAGTATTGTAACAACAGTTCTAGATTATCTCTCAGACTTGATAACTTTTGGCTGGCATACCTGGGCCAATCTGGCATAGCTACGCCGCTTTCTTGTGAGACTGTGTGGGTGCTTCCAAACTCAACATCTCAACAAGGTGGCAAACCGACATTACTCATTGAGATGCCAACTGTCCTCCATCAACTGCCGCATTGACTTAGTAGATTGACCCGCTGGATTGACTTGGCAAAATGAGTTATCGGATTGACCTGACGGATTAACCTATCATACTCATCCATCTAGCCCGCCTCACCAGTGATTGTTGAAATTGACGGAATGCAAAAGTCAAGACCATTATCAATGGTTGACTTATGCCACATTTTCATTTATGAGCTGCCTGACATTCAAGTTGCAATTTTTTCATCGAGACCTCACAGTTCATAATTTAATATTTTTTTGAACATGTATAAAGAGAGCGAGGGGGACTCTTTCTCAGAGGCTCTATCACACACACACTCTCTCTCTGATAGGCATTTTTGGAAAATCTCACATTGTATATCTGGGTTGGCTTTTCTTGCCTCATCTCTTATTCTTTCTTGCTGATTAGATCATTTTCTCTATTGTTCCGTCGAAGGATCATTGCAAGGAAATATACTTCAAGCCCGTAGAACACGTCCTTTCTCTTCCTTTACCCTCCTTACATAGGTTTCTCCCTCGTTGTGTGAACTCACGAACAATATTTTTTGTAGGTATGCCTGAAACACAAAGGGAATAAATGTTACCTGTTATCAGAAAATATTACTTAACTTCAAAATGCCACCTCATATTTTGATGGATACCTATCCTCACATCAAAGCTTTTTCTTCTATCGTAAAACTTAAAATTTTTGGGTGTTTATCCTTTATTTATATCAATTTCCCAGATCACATAAAACTTGATTTTTAAATCTATCAAGTGTATTTTTTGCAGTCATGCCTGAAACAAAAAGGTATAAATGTTACATGTTAGCAGAAAATATTACAACTCCATCGATGTCACATTTTTTGAAAATTAATCATTCTATTCCAAATTAACGTTCAGGGGGAGAGTGCAAATGACACCAATTTCGGGATGCACTTGATCGCACCTATACCTCCTCACAACCCACTCCTCTTTGACCTGACCAACATATCCTAGTTGTGGATGTCCAACCAACCCAACCTGAAGTCCATAACAAAGAACCTAGTTTGTGTAAAAACTTTGAACAGGTGGAGGACAACTTACAAAGACAAAATTTCTCATACCAAAACTTGAATTCACATTCACCTGAAATTTATGGTAAGGCTTAGTACTCATGAGTTATCCTCTTCCTCTACTGGTGCTGATGACAAGGGAAACTGTACTAGATACCCAATTCAAGAGTTTGTAGCTTAAAAGAAATAATCCTCATCTTATAGAGCATTTATACCTAACATTGATAGTGTATAGATTCCTAAATTCATTCATGAAGCTCTTGAAAATTTAGAATGGAGGAAAGCAATTAAAAAGGAGATTTGAGCACTAAAGCATAATAACACATGTATTCTAACTAAACTCTTAGAATAAGAATCCAATTTGATGCAAATTGATGTTCAGCTTCAAATGCAAAGCTGATGGGGGCAATGTGAGATTCAAAGCCATTTATTGTAAAAGTTTTCACTCAAGCCTATGAGATTGACTATCAGGAGACCCTCACATCATTTGCCAAACTAAACAATATTAGAGTTTCACTTCAGTAACAACTAACAGGGAATGTGGATTGCATCTACTTGATATAAAAAATGCCTTTCTATATGGAGATATGGGAGAAAAATGTACATGAAGATATCACCAGGACTTGAGAATAATTCTAACAAACACCTAGTATGCTAACTCAGGAATTCTCTCTATGAGCTTAATCAATTACAAGAGGCATGTTATGAAAGGTTTACTAAAACTATAAGATTTAATGGATATTTTCAAAGTTAAGTTGATTATACATTGTTGATAAAACATACTCAGGGAGTTAAGATTGCTGCACTGATCGTATATGTGTGTCTGATTCTTATTAGTGGCGATGAAAGAGAAATTCTTAAAATCAAAGAAGTATTTGCTACTGAATTTGAACTTAATGATCTAAGAACCATGAGTTATTTTCTTAGTATGGAGGTAACAAGTTCTAAGAAAGACATTATTATCACAGAGTAAATACATCTTAGATATACTAAAGGAGATAGATGATTAGATGCAAATTTGTTGATACTCAAATAGATCCCAACAAGAAGTTTAATAGGGAAGATGAAAATATATTTACAGATAAGAGAAAATACCAAAGATTGGTAGGAAAACTCATCTACCTGTCATATACTAGGCTAGATATTACATACTCTGTCACTATTATGAGCCAACACATAAATAACCCAAATGAAGAGCATTTGGAGATGGTGTCATGATTCTGAGGTTTTTCGAGAAGACTCCTTGTTATGGATTAATTTGTGAGAAAATCAGAAATAAAGATGTACAAGTCTGCACTGATGCAAGTTGGGCTGGGTAACTTATTGACAGAAGGTCCACCGCAGGTTACTGCTCCAATGTATGGGGAAATTTGGTTGCATGTAGAAGTATGAAGCAAACTATTATTCCTAGAAGAAGTGTAGAGTCCGAGTATAGGGCAGTCACCTTGGAAATCTCTGAAGGGATTTGAATTCATAATTTTTTAAGGCAATTAGGGCATACCTCAAATAGATCTATACAGATATTTTGTGACAATCAAGAAGCCATTTGTATTGTCAAGAATATTGTGCATCTTAATAGGACCAATCACATTGAAATTGATAGACACATTATCTATGAAAAGGATAGAACTATACAACCAAGCTACATCCCGACACACCAACAAGTTGCTGATGTCTTCGCCAATGGTCCTTTATTCACCTTCTCAAAATTCAATATCAAGCTTGGTTCTACAACTTCTACGATCCAACTTGAGGGGGAGTGTGGAAAGCCAGGAACGTGGGCCGACCAACCATCTCATAGGTCTTGGGGAATCTAGTTAGAGGCAACTTTGGGAACCCCTTGATTAGTTTTATTCTCTTTCCATTTATTTCTCTTTATGTTTATTTCAGAATTATTTCATTTCCAAATTTAGATTAGATATATATGGTAAGTTTGTAGGTTAGGAGGGACTGGTTCCCCATATATGTACCTTACATGTGAATAATGAAAAATAGAATTTTCCTCCCAAAGTTTATTTTCTACAACAACTTGTGTCTTCTAGAGCTTTAGCTAGTCTCCCTATATATGTACCTTACATGTGAATAATGAAAAAGAGAATTTTCCTCCCAAAGTTCATTTTCTACAACAACTTATGTCTTCTCGAGCTTTAGCTAGTCCGAGTTTAACAAGGAAGGCAACATCCATTGTTGCTTGAACAGCCAATTGCTGATCTGTATACACAATGTTTCATGTTTGTAGGCTCAGACAGAACCTCTTCTTTATCCCGATTCTTGTCGCGTCTCCTCTATTCAGCGCCACAAGCCTGTTAAATATTGATTTCTTCTGTAAAGAATTGGATTTTTGTTTGCCATGCCATGTAGAAATTTACGAACATTTCCTTCATTGGTGATGTGACTTAAATAATGTCTACATTAAGGTGACCTAAATTTCACGTCTTTTGCTTTAATTTATTCTAACCTTCATACTCTTTTTTATTCCCATGCCGTTTCCTGTGTATAGGGTGCTTAATAGGGCGATTTTGTTGTCCTACCATAACATCTTATCATTTAACAGCTTAATTGTAATGCATGAAGCACAAAAGCAATCTAATCTATATCATACGGGTAGAATGCTGTTAAATGATAATATTTAAGTTTAAATTCTCGAATTATTAGTAAGGAGAAGTAGTTTCTCATTACCATCAAAAGTAGTCATGAGTTATTTTATTTTGTGCTTAGTATGGGAGTTTCCGACGGCAGCTACTTATAGAAGGGATGAATAGAAGATGGAAACATCTCATACTGCACTCAACGGTATAATCATTGTTTGTTTAATTTTGTACAATTTTTTCTAGGTCAATCAATGTCTTACTTATTTCTAAGATAAAAATATTGCAGCCTGTAACGCCATTAGAACCCTGTGCGTGGCTGAACAAGCTCTTGATGGAAGTTTGGCCCAACTATATGGAACCAAAATTGTCACTTAAGTTTTCCTCAATGGCAGAGGTGAGCCTTGTTACCCATGTTACTGTTTCTGTTCAAAAAATGCCTCTTATTAACATATTGGGGAATCAAATTACTTTAATTAAGATTGTTTATCGGTATCCTTTTTTATTTGCATGATGTATTGATTATTGAAGTTGGTACCCGAGAGCATAATCATAGAAATGAATAACAGACCTGTCGATATTCATTTGGATTTGAGTGTTTCAACTAAGAAAGGTTTTAATTTGATTTGATTCCTTGATTAATGGTTCATGTTTCAGTTTGATTTTTCAGGTTGATTCACCCTTTAAATTAAAAAGGTAAACTCCCATTAAAAATATATATATTTTTGCGTATAGAGTAATATTTTGCTTATATTCACATTTGTATCTAATCTAGAATTTTTCACATTAAATTTATTTGAATTGTGTGCTGATTTTAAAGAGAATGTACACGGCTTGCTGTTACCACATGAAAAATTTAACAAATTGTTTCAATATGATTAAAGCTAGATGCCCAATTCCCCTCCATATAATTGACAAGCTTTGTATTAAGAAAAAGATATATATTTTTTGTTTTGAAGATTCATATTCATACAAGACGAAATTTTAATCATCTATGCCACTGATGTTATTGGTAATACTTCGTAGCCAAGATACAAGGAAATCTACTGTACTTGTTGGGTGTAGTAAAATGTAGCAAATATCTTACAACGTTGACTCTTAATCAAATATAGTTATCCCTTTTCATCATTTATATTCATACAAGACTATATTTAATCATCTCTGCCACTTATCTTATTGGCAATTTGCAGTCTTGGTACAGCCTAACTTGTTGTACTTGTTGGTAGTGTAATAGTAAAATATATGAAATTTCATTTACGTCAGTGACAAAATTAAATGTTGAATTTGCAGAGTCGGTTGAAAGAACGAAAACCAAAACTCATTGTAAGTCTCATAGTTAGTTTGAATCTGCAGCTCATGATAAGGAATCCAAAATACTAAGGCTGTTATTTTTCATACAGGAAAAGCTAGAGTTACAGGAGTTCTCACTTGGTTCATGCCCTCCAAATTTGGGGCAAAATGGGGTGCACTGGGTTACTGTGGGTGAACAGGTTTGCTTTCTGCTTACTAATTTGGCATTTGTGATAATATACTTTTCTTTGTCTTCAGTTGATGTCAACTGTCAATGCAAGATGGTTTAATTGTTTTGATGGATATTTATGATTTTAAAGATTGGTTTCTCTTAAAAATAGTGTAAGATGCGTGAAATCCTTATTTAACCTTGTCCTTTCTTTTTCTTCCATTGATTGTAGCTTTTCGGATTGTCCTCATCCTCATCCGGCCTTGTTGGCTTGTTCTCCCATTTGGCTTCTTCTCCATTGTCACTTTCTGGGATGCGTGTCATGCAGCATCCTGTGGCTGTACATGCCACTTATGGCTGTTGTCATCCTCGTCTGGCCTCTCTGCTTTTTTCTCCTGCTTAGCCATCTCTCTCATTGGCGGCTCTTATGATTTTGGCAGTCTACTCTAATCCACCTTTGTTGCCCCTGTTCTGGTCACTTCGAGAAACTCCTAGTTTTTTCCTCCTTTTGCTTAGCTTTTACTCTTTTGCTACTGTGATGGGTGGTCTGTCCAGTTTGGATTACATGCAACCCTTGCTGGTTTTTCTTCAATCTGAAAATTCTCATGCTTACCAGCAGGTTTCGTTGATGCTGAGGCCTCTGAGTTTACTTGTTCATTCAATTCCATTTATGCTGAAAAAATTTTGTGGGCCCTCCCAATATGGATGTCATTCACAAATTCATGTCAGAGTTGCAATTGGTTTGTGATTTTGAATCGATCTCTTTAATTATCATCATATTATTTTTAAACCTTTTTTGGATTCAGATGACATGAACTTGATATTTTTCTGCTGAATATATTATGTCAGCAGCTTTTCAATGATAATGTCAAAGTGGTCTTCCCATTTTGATTTTTCTAACGAATCTCCTGTTGGTGAAGACATTATAGATCATAATTCACAACATCTTTCCGATTCTAATGAGAGCATACCGAGTGAAGACATGTTGCTAGATTTGAATCGATCTCTTTAATTATCATCATATTATTTTTAAACCTTTTTTGGATTCAGATGACATGAACTTGATATTTTTCTGCTGAATATATTATGTCAGCAGCTTTTCAATGATAATGTCAAAGTGGTCTTCCCATTTTGATTTTTCTAACGAATCTCCATTTTTCTCTACGTTTTTCATAACAGCTTCAATTTATGCAGGCCAATTATGCCTATTCTCCATGATATCTTTATTTTGCCTTAAAAATATTTTTCTTCCCTTTTTTTTTTGGCATTTCTTGTTGATTTCCGTTTTTGTTCTTCTATCAATTGCTTGTTATAAAATTGATCTTTAAAACATACTTTTATTTTTTCTTATTATTTTCTATTTCCTTCATTAGAAATTCCCTTGGCTAAAAGTTTATGTTGGTACTGAAGTGTTTTTAAAAAATGCATTGGTGTAAAATGCCGCTTTTTAGCACTTTTTAAATGAAATAAAGTTTTCTACAATCTTCAAATTTGATAATTTTCAACTTGATGCTCCCTTGTTCTTTGACCTGCATCGAACGCCCTCCGCCAATGTACTTTGAAATACTGAAATTTTAGCTGTTGATGTCCGTGCATCACTCCCTATTCTTTATTTTGTTGTTTCACCGACCCAAGACCTGCATCGTAGCACCATTTCCAATTTTTTTGAAGCAGTGAAATTTTTTCTGTTCATTTGAGGGTTTGTTGTACTAATCTTTTTAAAATTTTATTTTATGTTGTCATACTGACCAAACATTGAACTTCATTTTTTTCACAGAATGTCATGCGCTTAGATTTTGAGTGGGACACTAACGAGATGAGTGTATTGTTGCTGGCCAAATTGGCAAAACCTCTGATGGGGACTGCTCGGATTGTCATTAACAGTATTTACATCAAGGGAGATGTATGTTATCTAATTTTTGATTTCATTTTTTGATATATTAAAACTTATTACCTGAAAGTCAAATTGCACAGATAATTTAATATTCTCTAAATTACTCTCTCAAAAAAATGTAGAAGGAATGAGAAAGAAAGGGGATGGCCATGATGCGGAGCTTACACGAGGGTTTACCGCACGGGATACTATCACACATGCGTGTTATTCTGCAAATGTTGCTATAGTACCAGAAATGGGAGATTGCCGCGCTGCTTTGACCGGTTCATTACCACAACTTTGAGGGTTGACTGATCTTTCTATCTATGGGATTGCTGCCCAATTGGAGTGGGGCCACTACTAGTTATCCTAGGATTATATATTTATGTTTCTGATGTTTTAGATTTAGTTTTGGTTGTGTTGTCTATTGGGACAACGGGCAACGGTCAACATCTCCAATTCTCTTTCCTGGTGCTGTTTTCAAGGGCGAGTAGTACTCCGACTATATCTCATTCCGAGTTTGTGATTATCCTTGACGTTCTCTTGCTTGTATCTTACCCTTTGCAGCCGCCGTCCTCCCTCCTTGCTGTAACCGCCTGGAACAGCTGTCCTGGGTGTTTCTTTCTGCAGTTTTCTATCTTCCAGACACCGCCAACTGCTCTTCTGCTTGTTTCCGCCATCCAGGACAACAAGTAGTAGCTGTCCATTCTTTTTGCAGCTTTCCAGCTACCGCTCCCCTTCAAACGTGCTGCCATCATCCAGAATCTGCGCCCTACCCCTTTACATTTGTTGCCATTGTCCAAAATCTCCACTAGCACAATCTTCCTTGTTGCCAACACCCCAAACCGGATCCCCTTGCTGTCTGCTGCTCCGTTCCAGTCACATTCTTGCTGTCATCGCTCTGAACATACTCCCACATTGACTCTCGTTGTTTGCTTGCAGCCCAGACTAATGGAATCCATTACCTGCCATTTTTCTGTTTGCCAACCACCTCGTGCATCACCCCACCATTGTCCTAAACCCTCGCCTACCACCATCACTACTCCTGGATCTAACTTTCGTTGAGTTTGTGTGTCATGTTGTTGTTTTTTCCTATTTTTGTTTTGTTTGGTTGTAAACCCCTATTTGATTTCAGTAATAAAATTTGTATTGATGTTCTTATTTGGTTAATTTCGTTATGATTCGGTATCAGAGCTAGCGTAACCATAGTCATATCCTAGGGTTATCGAAATCCCCCACACCCTTGTTGAATTTTCCAAACCGGCCACCCAAAATTTTCTTTCCCACTCTACATCTATTCAAACCCAAGCCCTAATCACGCTACTAAGGAGATAATTGCCGGAAAACTGATCGGGAGAAATTTACATAGTGTCACGATAAATCGACAAAGAGATGTCTAAGAACCTTATAAGGAAGTATTCCAACTGCAATAGAGGCTTGCCGTCTTCGAGAGGAAACCATCCAGAGGGGTCACACAAACTCTATTAGATTCTAGAGATGAAGTACCACTACCCGAAGGTTTGACATGAAATATTAGAGAAGCCACGATTTTGAAGTAAATGTAGATTTGTCATATTTTGACGACGACATTAATCCGGACGAGATTGAGTGGCTCTAGACCTTTGAACATGTCTTTGAGTATCAAGATGGTCTACTGGATGAAATGGTGAAATTAGCCACCAATAAGTTATGGAAGACTGCATCTCAATGGCGGGAGAACTTGATGATTCTTCAACAACGAGAAAGGAAGAGTGAAGTTACTATCTGGTTGAAGATGATGAGAGAGATACAATCCCAGTACCTACTATTTCATTACAGATAGGGAATTCAAGCCCTAGCTTTCGAAGTAGAGAGACAACCTTACCAGATGATTGCCTTATCTTATAGATATAGTTCAATCATTGGATCAAACAATCATAATACACCTAATGGAACATTCAACCCAACCTTGCCTGAGGAGAAACTAATTTAGAATAGAGCACAAGTGAAGCCAACCAACATTCCCAGATTTGGCTTAGCCAATAAATGCGTCAAGTGCCATGATTTTGGGCACAATATATTAGATTGCCCAAACAAGAGTTCGGTCTAATTCACTGAGTATGGAGCAGTTGAAGAAATTGCTGATGACATATTAGACACAAAAAAAATGAAGACACAAATGAGGAGTACTAACTGCTTTCTAATGAGAGAGATGCATGTAATTCAAGCTGTGCCCATGAGAGACCCCAACGAGATTAACAGTAATTGTCCTTGGAAGGAAGTGAGTCTGAGATAATGAACGCTCATGCATAGTATGAGGTTGTGATGCATCAAGCTATCTTTTTGCAGGCATTAAGAGGAGCATCAACATGACTTTCATTGAATGTCCAGAAGGGCCTTGAGTTTGAGAAGCTGTTATTAGACAGAGCAACCTCAGATAAAGAGAATTTGAAAATTTTCAGTTATATAGTCTACCACTTGAAGTGCTCATATTAAGGGAGGTTTAACATATTAAAGATGAGAAACTTGTGAGCTACTTCTGGGAAACTATATAGAGTTATTTGAATATTAAATTCAGTTAATCAGTGTACCCATGGACAGATTATCAGACAGGAGGGATGACCCACGGTGTTGGAAATCGTTTAAGGTTTTGTGGGAAAGAATATATTACAGTGAGATCTAGGCCCTTTAAGAGAGGAAGAAGCTTCTCCTCGGTGGTTATATTTTAGTGTGGTCTAGCCTGCCGTAAATTGCATTCCAGAATTGATTCCCCCTGAAAGACTTGTTTATCAGATACAATTAGTCGAGCACGAGGAATGAGAGAAGCACTATAGATTTATTTGCTCGAGATTTTTATGTGCAGCTCTAGCTCAGGTTGTGCTAAGAGGTGATAGATACTTATTCTATCAAAATATGCTTTGGAGTGACAATATCTACATTTTGTATATGCCGAGAGCTTTCAACATTTCCACTACCCTTAATGTGGTCGACCTTATTACTATGAGACGATAGAAGCTTTGACCAATGAGGTTGAAGCTCTTCCAACCCCGGGAGACCGACACGAGGCGAACGCGAGAGTTTCCTGCACGGAATGCTATCATGCATGTATGTGATTCTGCGAATGCTGCTACAGTACTAGACATGGGAGACTACCGCAGTTTCGTGAACTGGTTCATTACCATAGATTTAAGGGCTGATTGACCTTTCTGCCGTGGGATTGCTGTCTAATTGGAGTGGGGTCCACTCCTAGTTATTCTAGGGTTATTTATTTGTGTTTTTGATCTTTCATGTTTAGTTTTTGTTGTGTTTGCTGTCGGGACAACCGCCAACATCTCCAGTTCTCTCTCCTAGGGTTGTATCCAAGGGCAAGTGGTGCTTCGACTGTGTATCATTTTGAGGTGGTGATTATCCTCGACACTCCCTTCTGCGCATCCTTCTCTTTGCAACCGTCGTCCTCTCTCGCTGCAACCACTCAGAATAGCTGTTCTAGCTTTTTCTTCATGTAGTGTTTTATCTTCTAGTTGCCACCAGCTGCTTTTATGCTTTCTACAGCCATCCAAGATAGCATGGTTTTGCTGTCCTTGGCTTTTCCAACCTTCCCAGCCACCTCTCCTCCCCTTCCAATGTGCCGCCGCCTCGAGAACCTGTCCCCATCCCTTCCCACCTGTTGTCATCCTCCAGAACTTTCCACTTGCTGCCATCTTCCATAACCTCCATTAACACATTCTCCGTTGCTGCAACACCCCAAATCGGGCGCCCCTTGTTGGAGCTGCTTTGGTTCAGTTGCCAACAACCATCATCGTCCCTAGATTCAACTCTTATTGAGTTTGTGTCTCGCATTGTTGCTATTTCTTATTTCTGTTTGTTTGGTTGTCAACCCCTGTTATGGTGTTGAGCCCGATTTGGAGAACGAGCACCAGGATTGCCAAACCGAGCACTTAGCGCCCTTGTGCCCAACCTCGGTGCCTCTGTGCACAGGTCGGGTGCTTGCACCCAACTGTAGGTGTTTATGCGCCCATCTCTCAGGTTCGAGAGTTCCAGGCCCTTTTTTCTTCTCGAGCCACAGACACTAATGTGCCTAGTTCTGAGCGCTTATGTGCCTGATGCAGTTGGTTCATGATGATTCAATTTAAGAAGCATTTCTCGGGCGATGAAGGATGCAAGTTCTAGCGAGGAAGTTCCAGAGCACAAGTTTCTTTGACATTTTTTCGACAAAGGTGGGAAGCATTTGAGAGGAGAATTTTGCGTGCGTTTCTTTTGTCCGATCAGGAGGGAAGAACTGGAGTGAGGCCATGTAAGCTTCTTTAATTGTAGAGAGGAAATCCGAGCGAAATTTTTATAAAACTTTTTGGTTTATATTGGAAATTTTTTGGTGGTGTAACACCGTGATTTTTTCTAGTTTTCTGGTTTTTTCATGTTAAATTCTTGTGCGTTTTTTCTTGATTATCTTTGTTGCGCTTCTGTTCATGATTTTGTTTCGGTTTTCTCGAATCTGTGAGATCCTATTTTATGGTGTAGTTTAGTTTCTGATTGAACCTAAGCTTTAGTAAAGTAAGGAGGTTGTTCATTCCCAAAAACAAACTGATATCAGAGCGGGGTTTGATTTGAGTTGGAGCAATGATCAATGAAGCAAGGTTCAAAGTGGAGAATTCAATGAGATGAACTTCACATTCTGAAGGATGCAAGTGGAGGATTTGCTGTATCAAAAAAAGTTATATTTGTCACTACAAGGAATCACCAAAAATCCTGAGTTTATGACCATGGAGTAATGCGAAGTGTTAGATCGAACAATACTAGGTTTGATCCGTTTATCACTTTCTTCGTCTGCTTCATTCAACATTGTAAATGAGAAAACCACGGTGTATCTCATGACGACACTGACTAAGAGTTACGAAGAACTTTCTGTTTCAAAGAAAGTTTTTCTAATAAAGAGGTTCTTCAACATGAAGATGGTGGAAAAGATTTCAGTGGTAGAACATCTGAATAATTTTAACATTGTGGCAAGTTGGTTGTGTTTTGTGTGGATTAAGTTGGAGGATGAGGTTAGAGCA